GTTGTTGAGTTCATAACCCTGCTCCCGGAACTCTAAGATCCCCATCAAGACAACAACTAATTTCATAGTCACCAACCAATTATTCAAAGCACAAAGAGGCTACAAGGCTACAGATGACTCCTGTAACAGTGGAATTAGCGTTAATGGCCTTCCCGCCGAGATCGCAAGGCACACAATCACCTTTGCAGGACCACAGCTAAACCGAGCAAAACCCGACTAGTTCCTTCTAATAGCCATATAACCTCTTGCAGGCCTGGAATTTGGGCGTTATTGCACGCCTTAGCTTATCAAGAAAGATCATTTCGTACTTCTTGCACATTCCCAACACTTCTACATCCATCAAATCTGAGTCGCCCATTTTTGATGATCCTTTATGAGGCATTGAAAAAATTGTTAGGAATCCTGCAGTTGGTTAAGTATTTTTTCATGAAGAAACAAGCAGAAGGTGATGCTTTCAAAGAAGAAATTTTGCCTTGCAACTAGAGGCACCGGTGCTGATGCACTACCGCCACCTCGAGCATTAGTTTTTCATCCTCGGCCTCCACTGAGGCCGTAGTGCATAGCCGACAGTTCCACGTACAGAACTACACCCGAGATCGGCGACAGAAGTTGTTACGGCAGGGCGTAACTAGGGCTGCCACACACACACACACACCCACCTATCCACCCACTGCATACAATAAAACCGTTTGCGTGCGAATGAATGTGTGTGCGTATTTGCACAAGAGCCCACATAAGCCATTAGTTGGCTCTCATGGTCACCTCTAAGCTGCGTGATTAGCCGCGTGCAAATTTACAGACAGAACGGCCTTGGAGTGCATGCATACTCTGCACACCAATCCACGCGCAGAGGAGGCATGCACGCACCCACTCCTCGTGTCCTCATTGGCTAGACTGTGCGAAACAAGGTGGGCACACCCACAGTGCGTTTCTAGGCCGTGGTGACTAGACGCATGACCTTACAACGAGTATCAGCTGCTATATAAGGTACCGGTGATTCTGCTCTACAGGCTATTGCGTTTAATCTCCGTTCTTACGGATTTTATAGTACGATGAGTTCAGACATTGCTTCAAACTTACTGATTCCACCAACCACAAGCATTGATGTAAGTTTTTGGCTAACCACCTTAATTAACCCTGTTTGTTGAAGTAGCTTATTAATCTGTTTGTGTCATGCAGATGCTTCAACTAAAAACTGCGGAGATATTAGTGTCGATGTCTGAGGGGTTGGCATTCAGCCTGACAGGTCAAAACCACCTCTCCGCACCTACTATTCCCCTATTCCCAGAACTTACGTCTTTTCAAAATCTCAACAACACCAGCAACAGTGATGGATTGGATACGGAGGGAGAACTACACCGTAGATTGAAGTTCAAACTCCATCGCACCAAACCTCATGAAATGTCGGCCAGTAATCTCAAACACAAGGCGGCCGGAGCCGAACCGGCTTCACGTCTAGCTGAGGTGAGTTGTCTTCGCTTCGCCTTTTTTCTCCTCCCTCACATGTTTGAAGTTAATTTATTATTTTATTTTCCACCTTGTTTGCAGATTCTTCGTGAGCAAACTTTGGAAGGTAGGATTCCACTTCGGAGATCCTCGGCAGATCTTGTGGACTCCTCAATAATTTTGCGGTTAATGGCACAACAACACCAAAACTCTCTTCATTCGCATGAGACGAGTGCGTTCAACGTTGTCTCGCCCCTTCCAGCCTCTGAAGACGGTGTTTCTCCTAGTTCTACTCCTGTAAGTACTCCAAACAAGGTTTTGAAGTGGGTCCCGGAGTTGATGCACAGATTCATGAAGAATCTTCGCTCCTTTCCAGTCGTCTTCCTATCATACTGGTCCAGACGCCGAGGAGGCTTCCTGTTCAATGGCGAAGCCCTTCAGCTGTCCCTTTGATCTCCACGTGCTTTCGTTGAATCCTACCCCACAAATCCATCCAGTGTTCACTGAACGCCGCGCTTCCGATCCCTGTCCTGCTTCCTATGCCTCTCTACAGAAACAGACGGTCCCACAAAACGCTAGAAGCGCCCCAACTGGACGTGTGAAAACGCACCATTGTACATTCCAAGGCTGTGACAAGGCCTACTTTAAGAGCTCCCATCTTAAAGCCCACGTCCGAACGCATACTGGTGAGTTCTCTATTCCTCCATTGACTTATCCTTATGTGACGTTTCAATAAGTCTCGTTTCTTTGAAACTATTATAGGTGAAAAGCCGTACGCCTGTGACTGGGAGGGATGCGGACGTCAATTTGCTCGATCCGATGAATTGTCGAGGCATAAGCGAGCTCACACTGGAGAACGCAAATTTACCTGCAATTTTTGCCCTCGCCGATTTAGTCGCAGTGACCATCTCAACAAACACATGAAACGGCATCAATTGGAGGTGGTTACTGCTGCCACAGCGATCAATGGTAGCGCCAGTAGTTCTGGCGTTGCAGACATTGAGAAACGCGCTTCTATCGATGTACCCTCGTCTCTAATTCCCCAAGAGACTGGACCACGATTTCATCTCTGGTCTGATGAGTAGGTGTTGTCCACTGGGTGTGTTTCAAATCATCCACCCAGCCAAGTACATCTTCAACCACGCAGCAGAAGCGCATTTTTTTTTTCGTGTCTGCGGATCCTGTGTTTTGTCTGGAAGGTGATGATGAAAGGAGGGTGAAGTTGTGGCTTTTTATCAACGGAGCTACTACACACCCCTCCTTCGTTGTTCTTCATCCGAAAATTGCTAACGAGCACGCACACCCACCTAAACACACTCATTTGTTAACAAGATCTCTTGCCCTCTGATCTTGTGGTCGACTGGAGATCCAACTCACCAGATGTCCAAAGTGCTTCTTGCCACTATTATTTCTTCTCATTATTTTGCATGAATAAATATCCTGCATTTTCTAAGTCCTAGCTCTCCTTCTGCCTCTTTGTGACAGTAGATTTAAGGTAAGGTGGTACGGTGAGAATTAGGATTTCTCGAGAATTGGCGCAACTACTCCAATCTCAGTGCCAATGAGACTCCCTTAATTGACATCTTCAGTTGAAGCAGAACAGGTTCAATCGGACATCCATTAACGATTTGTTGATACTATGGTGGACCGTGTTTTTCATTCGTCTACCCGCTTTTCCATCATAGAGATGATGACGAACATTCAGGCGTTCGTTTGTAGGGCATGTTACGGTGAAAACAGATCCACAGTGTTGATCCATGCTGAGGGTGACAGAAAACATAGGATAGAAATAAGTAGCACGCCTGTTTCATTAATTACTGAATACTTTTTTTTGTTTTTTGGACTGTGGTTGGTCACTTCCAAAAATTGAACTAATAACTGGAAAAATAAAGACTCTATTCTGCCTGGATTTTCGATAGTAGGACTGTCAAACTTTCTTGGAATTCAGTCTTTTTGTTGATTTTCCTCTTAATGACGCCACTTGATAACAATCGTGGGTACGATAATCACGAAGGCCATAGCTGATCCGTGACCTTGAGGTGGCCAATGAAAGGCATGACAGCGCATAGACAGATATTACGCTCACGCTGTTTAAAAATGACCATAATTTTGTTTAAAATTAGCCTTTCACGCCAATAAGTTGGCCAAAATTGATGTAAAATACCAAGTCTCACTCAGAAAGCGTGATACCGAATGGGAATAGTCGGCATAAACAGCCTCCTAAGAGGAATTACCAACCGTCAAACCCTCGCTTGTCAGAATTATCTGGAGAGGGAAGCGAAAGCATTTATAACCGCTACTTCATGCTTGTTGCTTGTAAAAGCTCAAGTCGAGGCTTAAAATCTCAAGAGTGGTTAATTCAGTAAAAGTTGGCACTGATTGACCACACCCTCGTCTCGCAGACTGCTTTGTTTTTATGCTTCAGACCAGCAAGAATGCAACATAGACTTCATGAAAGCGATATTCAATCGCACAGTGGTCCATATTCCACAAGTAAAATAACGGACCCGGGCTGAGAGGATGGTGAAATAGCTCTAATTCATCTCTGGTAGGCACTTGATTGGATGTGATACTAACTGGAAGGAAAATTTATCCGCTAAACATGCCACAGGTGTAACGTATGTCAGGAAGTACCACTAAAAGTGTGAAGTGCAGTTGTTATTTGAAGGGCTTCCTTAACTGCAGACTCTTCTTTTACTGCAGACACTGTCTCAACTTGAATGAAAGGAAATGTTATTCGCCTATCATGATGTCCATAGAAGTGTGCTTTTGCACCTTTGACTCAAGCTTTGATGATGCAACTCGACAAAGGCGGGCATTTTTCACCCACAAGTCTTGGTCCCACGGTCACATGCACTCGAATACACGTCTAAGTTGGTTTCAAGTTAATCACTAGAAATAAAGGTGTTTGAAATTTCAATTTCGAAAAATTCGCCCTCTGCAAATTTCCTGGCGTACATATGAGAAGGATGCAAACAATGGTTTCAACGACACCATGCATAGGCGAACTCGCGCAGCACACACGCACACAACCACGCCCCAGTCACGTGGTGTACACCGTTGCCACTGCCTCGCCGCAAAGCGGCCAACCCCATAGGCACGGACGCACACACCTTGCCCTCCACCTTGGGAGTGGCCAATCACATCCTCCTCCGTCTGACCACAGTATGGTAGGCAATGCTGGAAAGAAGCTAAAACATCCATTTTTCCCACCACGATTGAGGGGTTCAGCCTATTTAGACACTGGCGTTTGGACTTCAATCTCTGGTTGTCATCATCTTGGTTGTGAGAGCCAAATATCAAAAGATTAAAGTTATCTGTTATTTGACTGAAGCAGAAATGGTTGATTAATAAACAGACCGATCCAAATAAATCAAATAATGTTATAATATTAGCTAACGGGGTGACGATTCATCAGAAGAGGACCAGTCCAAAACAATCATCCTATCACTTCTGCATGCCGCCGACCATCCCTGTCCTACAGACACAGAAAACTTGATGACTCGTTGAAAGGAAAAGAGAATTACTTCACTTTCCAATCCACATTGCATTATCAAGCTTTTCTAAGTTTTTTTCCTGTCATTGTGCTGTGTAATCTTTTTGGCCCTTTTCATTGGTCCAGTTTAAGGTCACGCCTGGACCAATGAATAAAGGGTCGACAATCTGGTGATTCAACATCGTGGGCTGAGTGAAGAGGGTGACCTGGCTTATGGACGTCTTCACAAAAGTTTCATAACAAATAAGAGTTGTAAAATGAAAAAAAACACCTTCCTCTCTGAACAGCTTATAAATCCTGTCATGCATTAAATGGGTCTTCTCATTCAATTTTGGTACTTTGGGGATTTTGCCAATAATGATGTGTGACTGGATTCCTTTTGAAGACGGTAAGTTTCATGTAAGAAAATAGCATTTAGTGAGTTAAGGATCAAGCGGTCAGTGAAGCATCACTAAAAAGTGTATTTTGGGGGACAACAGTGGCAATGAAGTGCCAAAAAGCAGTTTGTATAGGTTTGAGCCCAACATGCCTCAGAGGATTATGCAACCCAAAGCTCACGTGAAGAGCCATCAGTAAAAAAGCTTCACTGTGAGGCGTTTCGAAAGCACGCGTTTGTGCATTCAAAGGAATTGGAGCTGTTCGAAACTGCCAAATTCATTTTCCCAAAAAAAATTAACGAAGTAATTCATCTGGAGTCTTCTTACTCTCACTTTTATGCTCCCCAAGAGGAGGTACTTCTTCAAGGGGAATAAAATTGCAAAGTTTGATCAGATGAGTCAACCTCGTACCTGTCAAAAGGAAAGATTCTTTCATAGTGGCTAATTTAGGCCACAAATAACCGTTGAAGGTGAGCCAACTGGCAATTGTCGCATTTCCTACTCGCACCCATTTGTATTCAAAATTACTAACCCGTATAAGCGCTTCCACCACAAACTCACACAATCGACATCCACTTCCTTGGAGCAGTGAGGACCTCCGAGTTCTCGTTCTGAATTCGTTAATTTTCTAGAACTCGCCAAGCAGAAGCATCATGGTTGAAGGGCAGTCAGAAGTACCAACTTGGCAATCCAACATCCACTGACAGTCACACTTTCTATTTTCACCTACTTCCTTATGAAAAGGCGGTGCCAATTGTCGGTTAAATGATGCCCTGCTAAAAGGGCATGGATATCAAGTCCGAGATTTGACAGTACAAAAAGACGTGGTCATTTTGTAGGACCGTTTCAAGTAAATAAGATCAAAGTAGCTCTGCCATTTCTGTGAGAGCAACGAAGACGTCGAGTAGACTTCACTTTTTAGCCCCCTTTTTCACCCTTTTCACTAATTTAACTGAGTAATTGAATCACTAAGGCATAAATCTTCGTCAAATGTGTCATTTGGCAATGAGACTCTCATCCTCCATTGTCTGTTTTTGTGCTGTAGAAAGCATGATTGTCAGACGATAAAAGGATGAAATGAGGGAGCACACAAGGCACACCCTTTTTGTGCCTTTTCCAGGCCCCAAAAATCTCTTCTGTAAACTATCCACCACCTATCTGCACTTAATGCATGCAAAAGAGAATCCAACTTGAGGTGCATGAGATGGATGATGCCTTGAAGGGTCACCAAAGTGGTCCTGTTGTGTTGTCAGATCCGCCTACCACCAGTAATTCAACAGTAACTTCAACAATGATTTTACTTCCTGTCTGGATCGACATTCGGAGCCTCTGATGCCTCCACAGGCATCAAATCGTCCACAGTTTAACAGAGACACAACTTTTAAAAACCTGTTCAACACGGAACCCCCAAAAACGGGATCATGACAGTCCGCCTTTTACGAGGCCTTACGGCCTAATTTGGGCCAAAACTGCTAATGCCATTTCACATACGTGTGTGAAGGTGGTTTTTTTTTTACCAACGCAGAGAAGAAGGGAAAGATCACTGCTAGGCACACAACCACTAGTCAAAATGTAACTCCTCTTGTTCACCGACTAAGAGGAATTGGAAATTTTTCTCCATTTAACACCTCCTTCAGCAGGGTGGAAAGCAGTCCAAGAGCGTGGATAAAGGCTTGCTTGATAATTAGGGCGTGTCCACCACATTGATTAGCTCATGAAAAATGATTTTGATAACGCTACACAGTAGACACCGCCTTTAATAGACATTTTTACGTGTGTTGCGATTTGAGATGGCATAGCCAGGCATCACCTTCCATTGTTATGGCGACAGAAAACGCCCTAGTGCACTCCCTCTCACATCGTCTCGATTGACATCAAATTCATGCACGAGACTCACTACGATGCTGATCCACGTAAGCAGGTGTGTGTTGTATCCTCCACCATAAAGGCGGAGGCAAAAAGGCGAGCTCCCTTTTGAATCTTGTATGAGACATTTTGACAGCGAGTGTGATTGAAGGATAGCAGAAGTGGTTAATTGTATGCCTTCTACTCATGGCCTTGGCATTTGGATGAGACAATGAGAGTTGTTGCTTCAAAGTGCGGCCTTCTTCCATGCACCGGATCCTCACATTCGCTAAGGGAAAGGATAAAATGGAAAACTGGACAACCACCCACAAGTCACATTCACTGCGGGGATCTTTCGTCCACCTGA